GCTTTTACCTTGGGTTCATCCACTCTGTCTCCCACATGCTGGCACTGTAGCTAACCTACAGAGGACACTAAACACCAAAATCGCTCTCTGATTCTTCTTCTTTGGCTCATAGACAAGCTCAAATTGAGTATAGCAATGATATTCCCAGCAGTGAGAATGTGCAAAAACATCTCCCCTAGAAAGCATCGAGTTGTATGGAATTGCTGCCTCCCTGACACAGGTTCCTTCCATTTTTTTGTGCTAGAGGAGCAAACTACTGACTATTACTAACTAGTAATTACAGCAATATGTTTGTAACTTTCTAGGCTGTCTTAATCACCAAGTTAATTCAGAGATGACTGCTGAAAACTGCTGTCAGAATGCAGTAAATAGTAACGAGGCTTTACCTAAATCCCAGCATGTTGAGATCAATCAAGGCAGTAGCCAAAAACTTGAACTGAACACAGTTTTCTTTGAGTTAGATTCACTAGCCCCTCTTTGCAGTGGCTTAGTCATTGGGCAGCATTCACCAAACTTGGAATACATCTAAGGTGAATGGAGAACACAATTCCAAGGTATTAGGATCTACTCTAGGCTCAGTCTTGATGCCTGCATAGACTACAAACCATGCTGAAGGTATTTTGAGACATTGTTTAACTTTTAAGGAGTAAGATGGGTTAAAAAAAAATGTAAAAGGCTACTAGGAAGTCTTTTCGTCTTCCCCACCCCAGTCTTCAGAATGTTGGTCAGTGAGTCATACTGTAAATTAGTTGGGGGGGGGGGGGAGAAGGAGAGAGAGAGAGAGGAAAAAAAGAGACTAAAACATAAAAGAGCTCCTTCTGAGCTTCAGAAAGGTTATATCTCAACAACAGAATATTGTCATCTGTGAAGAAAAATAACCAATATTTTTAACAGGTTAAAAGATTTAATTTTCTAGATGAGTATTGCATACCCATTAACCTCTATCCATTTAGTCTACCCTAACATCTATCCTTCAGTTATCCTGTTACCAAAATTAGAGAGAGAGAGAGAGACAGGGACTGAGAGGCTGACTTTCTCTTTAATTTGCTTTGCACTCTGATGCTTGAAGGATAGACAAGAAAAAAAAATTCTTTTGAATGAATGGTCAAAAGCACCTTTGCGGCTCCTTCACAGAGTGAACTAATCAGTGACAACTGTAGCTAATCTGATAAGAAGGCCTGCATGTGTGCTAATGTGCTAATACGAGGGGATTCAGAGTAGTCAACAGCAGTGAAAAAAACACTGCTTCCTAAATGGACCCTCCTATGCAATAGCCCTGGCAACATATGCACATTTTAACACCCGCTTAACATTGAGACAATACATTGGCCTTTGTTGTGTAACAGAGGAGTGATTCTAATGGTGGGAATTTCTGCCTCACAAGCGGCATTCTTTCAGATGTGATGCAACTTGTTAATGGCCCAGACTCGGAGCAAGAAACTAAGACTGGAAAATTCTGCATTGCTTCTTAGAAAAGTTACATATACAAAATGGAAGTCTTCCACTTATTTCTTAGCTGAGAGACTGCAAAATTGAACAATCCCAGTGTGCGTGCATGCGTGCATGTGTGTGTGTGTGTGTTTGTGTGTGTGAAAGAGAAAGGGAGAGAGAGAGAAAAAGGAACAGAGAGAAAAAGAAAAAAAAGACAGTGAAAGAGGAAAAAGGAAGGAAGGCAGGAAGGAAAGAAGAAAGAGAGGGAGGATTGGTATAAGCCTGTTGGACCAGGTGTCTAGTCAGGAGAAAAACAGCTTGTAGGCTCTGGCGCTTTATCTAACAGAGCTTTAATCAGATTTACAGCAGTTTATAATCATGTGCTGTGCTTTATTTAATACATTGTCCTTGGAGGAAAATTATTTGTTAGTATTCCACAGGAAAGATCAAATCATGTCTTCTTGCCCCCTTTATTGTCTTACTTTACCCCAAGGAAAACTAATCTGGGACAAGATGAGTAACATATTTTTTGTATAGACTATGCAATGGGGAAGAAGGTAGTCGTCCATGGATGTTGAACCTTCAAGCGGCAGCTAGTGAAGAGATTTCCCATGGTGCCTCCTGAGTCAACATTACTCATGTTTGCGCTGCCTCTTTGGGACACAAATGTCCCGTGCAGATTAACGTGGGTCCTGGTCAGTTTTCCACATATCTTTGCTGCCAGGTGTCCCACAGCCTAATGCAAAGTGGATATAAAAGTGTGATCCACTCGGTAGGAACTTTTAAAATCAAATTTAGTAAATAGCATCAATAAATGTAGAGAAGCAAAGTCCACTCACTGAAGAGAGAAAAGTTTATTACCTGCCTCTTGTGAGTGGGGAAAACAAAAATCTTCAGTTGTTCAATTAGTGCCTAATACCATTCCAGTATGGTTGGTGTCCAAATAGCACAGTTACTGTGAGCTTGACAAAAGTACATGAACAGTGGGTACAAAGTGAAATACAGAAAATTCTGTTTAAACATAAGAAAAAACTTTTTTTTAAACTATGAGGGTGGTCAAGCACTAGAACAGGTTGCCCAGATGGGTTGTGGACTCTCCATCTATGGAGATATTCAAAACCTGACTGGACATGGCCCTGAGTAACCTGCCCTAGGTTACTGCTTTGAACAGGCGTTTGCACTAGATGATCTCCAGAGGTGCCTTCCAGCCTCAGCTGTTCTGTGATTCCGTGTCTCCAAGAGCTCAGTGAATTCCCCACCCAAGAGGATCCTCCAGTTTATTTCATTTGACTGATAATACAGACAATAGCAATAGGAAAGCAACACTGGTATTAGCTCGTCTACAGCATTTTTTCATCTTAAACAATATTCCTGTTCTACCAGTTGAGGCAGGGGGGTTCAGAAGCCACAAATACGATCTCAGAAAAGTGCTCATCCAGCGCAGTCCAGACCAAAACATGGACCAAACTTAGCCAGGTATTCCCATAAGAGCATTGCCCTGGTTATAAAGCTGGAGACTGATTTTTCATCCTCTTCTGTTTAAATACATCCCCACCCTAGCCATAGAGAGTAGAAGAGCTGACAAAAGCAGTGGGATGCTTCCAATAATGAGCATTTTGGGGTACCTCAGAAACAATACTATTTCAGCTGTTTGAGTCTTGTTTGATTTTACTCAGCTCTCTGAAGATATTAGTGATCAAGAATAACTGTTGTAAATGTTTCCAAAGATACAAATGGAGAAATCTTTTCTCTTCCTTTCCACTTTTTTGCATTCCAGGATACTATTTTATGTTTGGGTTTTGAATGCATAACAATTGACCCCTACTGACTAGTGACGACATTTCCTCTCAGAGGAAGTCCTGAGGGAAGGAAGGTCCCGCATAAACAAACTTCCACTCAGTACAATAGAGCAGACCATAAATGTGGCCATTTTTTCAGGGCATGGGTGAGGCTGACACTCTCTTCCTGCTCGAGCAGTTCAGGGCTTATCGCAGTCCTGTTTCCCTGTAATTTAAATGTTTGCATGGCTCCTAGTTCATTTATATTTTTCCCCATGCACTGCAGATGTATCCCATTTTCCTGTTGCTGTGGAACACAGCCACAATTTCAAACAGCGTTACATAAATGACCATCTGTGTTAAAAAAAAAATGCTGATGCATAAGATTGCAGTGTGAGAATTTTAGCTAGCTAGCAAAATTTATGCTATTAATACTTTTGACACTTCCTGACAATAAAGGCAAAATGCAGTGTTCCCTCTGTTTCAGCATGCTGTAAATGTATGATAGACAGCCAGTGTTACTACACACAGGAAATAGATCTCCAGGGAAAGGTTAAATAAAACCTAGTTGCCTATGCCTAGCTTCCCTTAAGCCTTTTGGGAGACTAAAGGCAGACTAAACTAATGAAAAATTATTAGACTGATAATGTGAGTGGCATCCAATGCATGCAAATAAACAAGAATACTAAGATTTCCCTGGCATATTTCTAGCATCTTGCTGACTCCCAGAATCAGTAACATTGAGAACACTGAAACTCATTGCACAGGTCTCTGCAACTGGCATGACAGTTGTTATAGTAAATGATGGCAGTAGTAAATCGCCAGTGTTGATGTGGATAAGGATAAGGGGAACTGAAAATCTTGTCAGCGAGTTTGACAAATGCTTGGCTCCAGTCCAAGCACTAGACGGGCGCAAAGGCTGTTTTTTGTCTGATCACCCCAAGCCTGATGCTCGCTGCCAAATCCCCTTCAAAATACTGCTGTAGCAATCTTTCTTTTCCCCTAACTCTGGCTCCTCATCCCACGGTCAAGCCTCCTTGCAATAAGCCTCTTTCCTTCTCTTAGGAGTCACCCTATCCAGATAGTCCTGGATACCTGAGGGCTCCTTACCACTTTCTTTCTTTTTCCTAATTTCTCTAAGTTCTTCTAGTTCAGTCTGAGGCTCCGCTCAGCCTCAGTCCTCAACCCCACTTTGCGGTTCTCAAATCTAAGAGCCACAGTTTCACAAATGATACCTTTCCAGGATGTCCAATTAAGGATAAAACAGTGTATTTTCCTATTTTTTCTTCTTTTTCTAGCAAACATTGAACTGCACCAAAACTGCACCCAAAAATGCAGACAGACACATAACATGTAAAATCTTATTCCAGATGGGTGTAGTCTGAGAAGAGTATATATATAGCATGATCAGGTAGGGTGGAGCAGCCTTAATAAACTGTGCTGATAGGCACACAGAGTCATATATACAGACACAGTCTTCAGATAATCATGCCTAAAGCACCCTCACAAAATAAGCAAATTCACGCACCAACAAGAAAATGGATGTACAAAACAGAATAATGAATGGTGGGTGTATCTGCATGTGCTGTGATGCGGGCTTTCTCAAATTTGCACTTTGCATACGTGCTTTTTTTTTTTCTGCTCTCACAAAATACTTTGACAGTAACTGCTCATTCAAAAAGTAACTGCTGGGTCCTATTCATTAGCACTTGAGGACCTATCAAATAGTTTTCAACACTTCAATTGAAAATTATTCTATTGTTACTCTCTACAGATGATTTCTATGAACTGCAGAATGTGATTGTGTTCATTCATAAGTAATCACAATACACATGATGGGCAAACATGACAAGGAGAAGAGACAATGTGCTATACCATCCAGAGCTAGACCAAATGAATCCAAGAAGTAAAATTTGAATCTCACAGGTAAAGAAAATTTCATTTCACTTGAATTTCTTTCACTTTTCTATCATTTTTTTCCCTTGTGAACATGAAACTTTTGTTTTGTTGCCTAAGGGAAAGAATGCGAACAAAAAGTAAGTAATTCACACAAACACATTCCCACACATAAACCCAGTTATTATGAGTTCCTCAAAATTTTGCAGACAGTCTTCTTTGCAAGTTAGGCCAGATTTCCTTCTAACTTAACAGAGGTGGCTATGCAAGTCTCTCCAGTTTTCCCAGTAGCCTCTGTGAACTGTTTATCATAACCTTAAGACACCCTGAGAAATCAAAGCATCTACAAATCCTCTGCTTTGGTATTACTGGAAGAATTATTTTGAGTAAAATTAAACATCCTCAGTATACAGTTCTGGAAAAATGATGAATATAAATGTCATGTTTAACTATTCACCTTTAGTTTAGAAAAAATGTTTCTCTAATCCTTAGCTCCTTCCAGATTTTAGTCCACCGTGAAGCATATGGTAAAAAGGTAAGTGTTCTGTAGAATCATTAACTTGCCTAAAGCAACATGGATGTTCTTTCTTTCTTGAAAGACAAAGAGCATCTGAAAGTAGTTAACAGCTCAAACCCCACAGTTTGCTGAGGCAGCAAAAAATGAACCTGGAAATGTCCCTGCAGGGCTGAGTTTTATGTTAATCAGCCAATTCCCCTGGGCACTGCTTGTATTGACAAGAGTATGTTATTGTTCTGTTTCCTCAGTCAATACTAAGAATGTAAGAGCACAGCATATAAATACTTATATTTATCAGCACCAAAAATATCAGGGGGGTTGTGGTATATGAAAGCTACAGCTCAGCTACAGCTGACAGAAAAACTGCAGAAAGCGAAATTCTGATCTCACTTACTTCAGTGAGAGAACAGAATTGGCCTTTCAAAAGAACGTCATTGTAAAAGAAACGTCATTCAGAATATCAAAAGCTACAGGTCAAACTTTACCTTGTAAAAGGCCCATTCAGATGCATTCACTATTAGAAGTACTGGGCTCAGTCAGCTGCTGGTGCTGAGGAAAGGCAAGGCAAAACAGCCAGAAAAAAAGGTTGCTGAGGATTTCCTTTCCCATAAGGCAGTCTGAAACAGTTCAGCCTGGAGGAGCTGGCACTGCTACTCGTCTCCTCTCCCCGACTCCTTTCAGTAGGCTGCAAAACAGCATTTGACCCAGGCCAGCCTGGGAGAGATAAAAGCCTGGTGTAGCACCAGCTCCTTATACAGACTAAGCGTGGCTGGCACCTGGGAATGTATTCCTATAGTATCACTGATGTTTGTATAGGACTTTACAGATACAGAAAAGGGCCTGGCATGAACTCTTTATAATCCAGGGCCTTAATTTGGTCTGTTGATGTATTGTTTAGATCTCTCCATACCCATTTACTGGTGTGATCAACTCGCATGCCTAGCAAGGTCACTGTGAATGAGAAAGGAAATGAGAAACTACAGAAATAATGTCCTGGAATAAACTCAGTTGAAAACAGTGAAAACTCCTTGGGGGGGGGGGGGGGGGGGGG